GCATTTCTAAAATATAGATTCTAATTCTATGAGTAGCATCCAAACGACAGCAAATGTTTGTTTGGGAGTGCTTTAGTCAAATGCAATTATTTTAAGGCAAGAACTTGGCAGATAAATAGCAATAAGAGATTTTAAAAATTGACAAATGCAGGCTATCATTTTATTATAATAATATATAAAGCAAATAACTTTAAATGCTCATAACCACACTAAATGACTGATGGTGTAATTCAGCTCACTCAAGTTTGAGGGAATAGTTTAAAGAATTCTTGAAATTCAGCAACCTTCATATAAAGATAAAGGTTTGAAATGCACATAAATTTTCACTTTCCTAACATTATTTATAATTTCATCATTTTCAGACATCCTCAGTGAATTGACCAAGCTCAAGACCTTTTTATATTAGAAGAGCTGGCACGGTTATTGGCAGCATGTTTCAAAGCAAGCCGTTTTTAATAATGACTAACTGATATGTAACCAACAGGGTTTTGGCCTAATTCCTTTGTCCTTTTTAGTGAAAAGAACTTTCTACCCTGGGGACCCAATCCCACCCTCACAGTTGACAACATCCTCCTTGAAACAACTCCTTGACAGCCGTTTCCATTTTAATAGCCGGATGAGGATTGTATCCTTCAATCTGAAAGTCTTCAGCTTTGAAATCATCAATTGTCTCAACTTTTTGAAGAATGTTGAGCTTGGGGAAAGGTCTTGGTTCTCGCTGGAGCTGAACTTTCAAGGGCTCAATGTGATTCATGTGCATCTCCCAAAGTATGTACAAAATCACCTGGCTTCAGGCCTGTGATGTGTGCGATCATGTAGGTGAGCAGGGCGTAGCTGGCAATGTTGAAAGGCACCCCCAGGCCCATGTCTTCTGACTTCTGGTGCAGCTAACAGGACAGCTCACCGTTTACCACATAGAACTGGCAAAGGGCATGGCAGGGAGGCAGTGCCATCTGAGGAAGGTCTTTTGGGTTCCAAGCACACATGATGATTCTGCCGT